GTCCCTTTACTCTTCTCGTAAAGCATCTGAAAAGCACAAACAGAAATATAAAGTTAAGTCTCACTTGGAATAGAGTACTAAATAGAATAGTAACCAATAACTAAAAAGCCAACTTGTAATCGATGCATATCAGAGAACGGCGGAAATCCGTTTGCCATCTCACACAAAGTAATACCAATACTGTAAACATCAGACAATAGACCATAACCATACAAATCCTGTAACCATTCGTTCCTTATTCTTAAACAACGAAAACCGGCTCAGTTCGGGTTCGATGAGAAGTGACATTAAAGACGATTACTGATGAGGTACGCTCTGATTGTGTTTGTAGTATCTGCTTTTGACGGAAACACAACAATCTGGCAAAATGAAAATATGAAATCGAAAACAAAAATGAACAAGTTCCATACTTGCTTGAGAATTTCAGGTGCTAACCACAGAAGACTATCGGCAAGCTCAGGTCCAAAATCATTCAGTTTTCTTGGTTGCTCACCAAACTCAGTACGCTCCAAGAACGCACAATCTCGTAGACCACTTAACTTTACAGTGCCCGTTGAATGTAGCAGGATATGACTACATCGAATCGATCTCAATAAATAAACAACAATCAGCTGTTGACGATATAATATACATCAGACTTTCTTAGAAAGTAAATTTTGATCGTTAAGAATAAATAGAAAAAAATATAGTCACCTGTGCACTATGTTCTGTTCATGTAAGTATTGTACAGCTAATAGAAGATTTTTTAAAATTTGGCCGATTGCTTTTTCTGGGAGACCGTGTTTGTAATGCTTTTGAATCACTTGCAGAACAGAGCCTTCAAAAAATAACACGTAAGAGAAATCTTTAAAAAAAACGGAAATTCTTAACACTTATTGATATATAGATATTATGTAGAGAATTCTCAATAATCAGTTGGCCAAGCAGTAATACGAAAGCACTGTTTTCACCAACCCATTCATGATTTTTTAAACCCATAGAAATTCGCCAGTTTTTATCTCTATTGTCAAATAAACAAACCCAAATTATGAAAACATGAGTTATTGAAAAATTCTGTCGACTGCAAAAGTTGGATGAATTCAACTATTATACCAGTGAAATGAAATGAAGAATGAAAGAAAGAAGAGTGGAAAGAATTAACCTAGATCGTAAAATGGAGACAGAACATAAATATCGGTATTTACCGAGAATGCGCATTCGAATGCGATTATATTCGCATGCGAAAGCCATCTTAGTAACCAAACTTCTTTCTGAAAGAAGAAAATACCATTTTACAAGCATTCTTCATGACCAATGTTGTAGTCATCTTCTATTCAAAATATGATGAATTCTCAATAACTCTTTATGCTGAAGGAATTCTTTAAAAACATTTTTGAAATTATTGATGATTTTATCACGTTGGTAGTAACTATTAATTCACCCACTTTAATTTGCTCATAATCGATGAATTCAGTGGACAGAATCCTCAGAGCACTCAAATTTTTTCTGTCCCTTCTCACCAGCAGCACTTCTGCTAATCCAGAATATGCTTTTCCTGAAAAATGTTTCGAATGAAACTCTAGAAGAAGTTTGATTTTTGGAAACTGAAAAGCTTTAGAGAGGAATTCCAAAGGTGATTAGAAACAGATCGAGATTAAAACTTACCGATTTGACCACAAATGGTAAATGATGGCAATTTCTTATTAACCGACACGACAGCACAACCAGAATTTTGTAATGATGATGAACGATAACCCATAATATGGTGAAATCACAAATTTTGCATTTATCGATGCTGAAAAAAGTAATAATCATTGATGGATTTGTGAATAAGACGATTATTTATTGGGTTAAGGCACATATCATCGACTGAGTAATAACAATTTACTTACTATCACACAAAAATATCACTTCTGACGGGAATTGTCATATGGGGGGGTGAGCGGGAGAGAAATCGCTTGCACTTACGTTTTTGGAATGGGATTGGCGGTCTAGCATACGGCCGAAGCCGAGCAAGGGTGCTGGCGCTTGAAAATCACAAACGGTAAGCTAAAGGACACATCGTAAAGACTGATACACAAACGCTAGTAGAGGGTGAGAAGGCAGGCGAGTGTAGATTGTGCACGAGAGCAGTGAGCAGTTTGCTATGCACACGCTTTAAAGAAGAATTTGCACTTGAGAAAAGAAGTGAAGAAATTATGCTCCTGGTGGCAGTTTATTATGTATGAGTGGACAAATATTGTCTTCAGTTTTTGCAGTCTCAGCCAAAAGTGTATTAGACGGCTTTCGTATTGTTAGATTACATAGAGGGGAAGGGTTCAGGAGCTGACAGGTGCGTCATCTAAATTCATGGAACAGGGTTTTATTTAGGTTGAACCCCANGTGCTCAGTTCAGCTCAGTGCAAGCAAGCCAAAGCGTGAACCTGACTCCAAGCAATGAGGCTAAATTGCTTTCGGGTAACTGTAGTAGCTTTGCCAGTTAGCGTAAGCGTACGAAATGTAATCGGAGTTTATTAATGAGAATGAATGCGAACAGTAGTGTTGGAGAACGGAGTGTGTTTTTTGTGAGTGATTCGTCGATGTTGAAACATAAATGCGAATGGGATGATGAACATATCGAAGTACCACAAAGACTTGAAATAATTCTCTCAAATTTGAAGGTTTTAATTTTATGAAGTTTGGTGGTGCTTTCCTTAAATGTTCCGCTGATTTCTGGAACTAAAATAAAGCATTCGATTCTTCAGCTACCTCATTTGGCCTCGAAATACGTTTCAAAAAATATCTCGGAAGTGATGTTTTTTTCGATTCCGTACGATTTGATACAAACATTCAAACATCATAGAGATATTCTGTGATACTGATTGTGAGCATTTTAGGTGTTTAAGTGTGAGCATTTGATAGAATCATAGATATTCTGTGAAGTGTGCCTATTTATTAAATTTTTGTTTGGAATTTAAGGATAACGTATTGAAAGAATGTGAGACAATTAAAGCGGTAGCTGCGACAATTGACGATATTCGCCTTGTACACGATGAAGCATACATCGAATCACTTGAGAAAACAACGCAGATGAACATTGTGAGTGGATATATGTGTGAAGTGATTCAAGTAACAGTCTTATTTTGTTATGGAAGGGATAGATTGCGTTTCTTGAGACTTGAAAGTTATTCGATGCCTTTTTTCAGTTTATTGCCGAGGAATTTTGCCATTTTTGATTTGAAGTTGATCGAAATGCTTGATAGTTTATGACGTTATCACCTCTGCTTCGTCTTTCAGTGTAATACCTCAACTTTTTACTTTATTTAGCAACAACTGGAATCGTATTGTTCGGGATTTGAAGATGTATACGCGAATAACTTTACTTATGATGCTTGTCTGATGAGTGCTGGTTGTGCAGTTGAAGCAATGAAGAGCGTTATCAATGAACGCCATCGGTTCAGTTTTATTTTCTGCTTCTCAAAAAAATATCAACCGAATATTCAAAGCTGGTCGTCTCAATGAATGTGTTTACATGTTTCCGCTTGAACAACGACAGAAAACGAGAAGTTTAAAAGCGAAGATGGTGTTGTATTCATTTCGACGTTTTCAATCAAGAAAGTGTTGCACACAGTGCTAAATTTGCTTTGCAATAAACGTGTATTTGTTAAGATTCTCAAGCGCGTTCGCTGCAGTCAGACCTCCGGGACATCACGCATCGAAGAATAACGCGTGTGGATTCTGCTTCTTCAATAATGTGGCGATTTGTGCTCTGAAGGTATTATAATTGCGAGTTATTCTCACTCTATGTGAATGAGTGTCAACGGTGAACGGCTGTTAAGGCAAGACAGTTAGGTGTGGAACGGGTGCTGATCGTCGATTGGGATGTACACGCAGGGCAGGGTACTCAATATTCAATCAAATCTGATCCGAACATCAAGCTTATCTCTATTCACCGATTCGAAAATGGCCACTTCTGGCCAAATCTACCGGAAAATTCAATTCAGCATGACTGTTAGATAGTTTGCGATATTCGTTATCTATTGGATGATCGTTACTTTGAAAATCAATCTTTTGATATCTTGGTATCAATCCTTGATACAATGTTTGATATCGTTTAGAAAAAAGAATGTTTCAGTATTAATTAATTATTGATCACTAGAAATGAAATGAGTAGGTACTAATGTATCTTTTCATTTGAACTGATAGTGAGTGTACTCTTTTTGAATTAGGAACTTCAGATAAGTTAATATGACCAACTAAAGAGTTTGAACTAAAAAGGTGAGCAAAAGCAAACTGAATGTTTCTTTTATACGCACACCTAAACAGTGTAGCGCGATTGCAGTGTGAAGGAGTGGTGAATATTTCAGATGAGAATACGATTAATGTAACACTGAATAAAACGGGTTTGGGTGATTCTGAATATGTAGCTGTGATGAATCATTTTATCAGGCCTATAATG